CAAGAACTGTAGTCACTACACTGGGGTTGCTCCCAAGATGGTTTATTTGTGGGGTGTATGTATATTATCAGAACAACTAAAATTTAAACTTTTACATATGAATAGCTACTTATATCTCTATGTTTATCGGCGCTACGTGGCTTTTCATGGCAATTTACGTGCTCTAATTTGATTCAAATTTAAGTAAAAAGTAAGCTAGTCATATAGTGCCACTTGCCTTGCTTGATTCGAATAAATATATTTGCATCGTTGGACTCTTCCGTGAGACTTGGAATTTAGGAAACAATCTAATTCTCTTTTTGAGTGCCAACAACGAATGTAAAAGTTGGTTTATGTTGATTACCTTAGTGTTTTGATTTCTTGTTGCGATTATCAAATCCACCACTAATAATGAGGCCTAAACAGTGTAGGCTATTCCGTAAAGCAACAAGATATCAGAGAACAAAATGCCCTTAACCCTCCATATATGGAACATTTAATAATTTTGATGGTCTTTACGCTCATATAGATTTTAGATTACCCCCTTTGCCACTTTTTGACCTGATCAGAAACTTGACTTTCTTGGTCCCGAAACCCGGCATATTTTCCTCGTGAGTAAGCAAGAACCACAAGTCTGCAAAAGTGTCACATAGAGCAGTGGCCGCTTGCGATTCTCTAGCGGCGCGCACTTTTAGAACAATAAGATGCAGCGACGCCCAGTTTTTTTTAATCAGCGTGCAATGCCAGAAAGACCTTGAGTTAACGTTCACACTGCTTTCCGTATTTCGTTTGCTCCGTGTTCTTCGTTATGAAAACGCTGTCCTTCACCACTAATCCGTCTTTCCCACAAAATTAATTACGATTTGAATAGGTAAGTGTTCACACTGCTCCAACAAAAACGTGTTGGTGATCATGCTTTTGAAAAGAGACGTTACGAATCCTCAACAATTGGCATCATTTATCGAATAAAATTAAATAACAAGCCAAAGTAGTGAAAAACAATTGTTTGAACAGCTCCAGTCTTATTGTGGAGTCTTATTTGGCATTTTGAGAAGTGCATCCTAAATAGCCGTGGTACATTGCCCTGGGTTAACCTCTGCCCGATTTCTGGCAAAGCAATCTTGTCTTTAAATATTGTTCCAGGTTTACCCAAACAATAGAACCGTTAGCAATATAAGAAAAGGATGGCACTCTATGAACTATTTACAATTACCAATCATAAGACTGAAGGCTGGCGTTTCTCTCATCATTTGACCATTTTAATTGGTTGGCTTCGTTGGCCAATGGCGCAAAGAGCGGGTCGCATAGAATAAGTGAAACCCAATCCGTTTTTGGGAGGGGGGTCGTAAAGGAGGAGGAGACGATTGGCCTTTCGTTGCCGCGACTGAGCGAATACTTTGTTCGACGGCAAATAATGTGCCGGCTCATACGCCATCTCAGGAAGCTAAGAGGAGGAAGGGAATAAGAAAGATAAGAGGTGGTCAGAGCAGTGGCTGCAAGAGCGACCTGAGAGAGGGTACCTACCGGATATGCGGTAGGTCTGGGCGGGTGGGGGTCGCAAAGGCAAAAACCTTGGTCCCGTCTCACTACGTTTAACTGCAGGTGCGTCGTGCAGTTGGAGGAATAGGAAAGTTAATGTAGGCGGTGCCAAAGAACAAAGTTGATATAGCGCCAACGCTCAATGCAGGCACGGTGCGCTGCTGTGCTGAGCCGTAAGTAGTGATTATACAATGTTGAGCCTAACTACGCACTGCTGACATTAACGACAAATCCACCATCGGTCAATCTGTTGTCCGAAACAAAACGCCTTAATAGGGGCACTAAACGCGTACCCTGTCCACAGTTATTATAACGGTGGTTCAAACTTCTCATTAAATCAAAGCTTAACCCCCGGCCAACCTGCGCAACACTTTTGTCCAACAAGTCCCAACAATATTGGGTGGATGCAATTTCTGGGCCGGTTGGCGCACCCATCTGTTGGACGATGTTGGAGTGGATGTGGGGTGAGTGTTTGGATGGTTGGTCCACCCTGTACACACAACAATCGCACGTTCGTTGCAAACCGACGAAAGAGATAAAGACCGACAAAAAATGGAGGCCAAACATTACATTCTCCTTCTTCACATACATCCTAAATTTACCATATACCTAAAACACTGCTGTGCGCTTTGTCGTTTTGTTCTTAGAATCGAGTCCCATGTTCAGTTGCCTAGCAGGAACTAGGACTTACGTGCAAGTGCAGGCAGTAGCGAAAGCGGAGGCTCATGGAGTAACGTCAAAGCAGAATCTCGAGTGAATGTTTAGTGCCTCTGGTTGTTGTGTGCTGTTTGTTGTATATCAAGCAAAGTGTGGGATGAAATGTCCTGGTCGTGCGCAACCCTGCTCGAGCACCTCGGACAATGTCCAAACAATGCGCAAAAAGCGCGCCAACACTGTTGGGACCTTTTGATGAAATGTTTTGCGCTTGGTTGGCCAGCGCAATTAAGGCCGATTTCTAACGAGGCGATTTCTCGTTCTGGCGAAATCGGCTGAATGAGAGGGACTACAGGGAGAAACTAGCATTCTTACGATGGACTAAAAAAATTAAACCCGACGAATCTCCAGCTATAAGTTTCTTGTAGATAGAAAATATGTTTAATTTGTGTAGCTGCTCTTTCCAGACAAGTCTAGCCGTGATTTCAAACCTCTACCTTTTTGTGCCCCTCTACATTGTTTAAGCAATACATTTTACATTGAAATGATGTGATATGAAACATGCTTACATTCAAGTGAATCACCGCTTGTACTATGTTTGTGACTTATGTGACTTAGGACTAATTGAAGAGTTATATCATATTCCTCTGAAAAAATAAGCCTTAAAGAATATGCCTGGTTGTACTTTTGAATCAAAATTTTAATATTACCTCTGACAAAGCATTTCTTTATTTTGCAGAATAAAGTGCAATGGAATGGCTTGACAGCTATTGAGGGATACAATCATATATAGTTTACTGAGCTAGAACTTCATAAGTAACAGATATTACAATGAATAGTAATTAAAAGATTGTGACTTTGTTTCAAATGAATTTTAAGATTGTGATTTAAAAATTTGAGGTTTTTGAATTTGTTATGTATACAGCTCTTTGAGAGATATTGAGAGATAAATCCTTCATATTTGAGAGATAAATCCTTCTGCCCTGAGACAAAAGCTATGAGTGACAACACTTTTATGAACTGAAGACTAATACGGTTCATAAAAAAGGCTTACTACAGCAAAACATTTGATTACATTGGTAATTTTGTTCCAGAAATAATCGTAGATTACTGCATAAAGCTCACAAAATAAATTCATTTTACTGCTAAATGTTCTAAACATATATGCAATTTTTGTAGCAAACATTTGAATTTGTAAAATATGTTTGAAGAACCTCCTGAAACAATCTAAATTACTGTTTCCACTCCAAAATTAATGTTATGAATATTGCAGTTTGTTTTGCTTTAGTAAGATTCAGCTGCTAGCAACAACTTCCATTGCTTAGTCACATCATAACATCTCAGTGATTGGTTCCTTTCCAAAACTTGAAAATGGAAAACCTTTATGGTTTTATAAACAGATGTTTATTTCATTTCAAAACAAGTGGTGAAGGCACATGTCTTTGTCAATCCACCAAGTCAAAGATGCACACAAGTTGCTCTACCTAGAAAATAAAATATAAAAGTATTTTTCGTGTATCTATTAGCCTGCGCCTTTATAGATCTGATACATTCTTCTATGAGACAGTCCCACATTTCAATTTTTCCATGGGGAAACAAAGATTAGGCCTAGTGCCATGTAAAAAATTATTACTGAATTCATAAACATTAACTATAGCAATCTATTTGGGTATCTAAAACCAGGCAAGACTTTCCAAATAGCTACCTACTTCAAAGTAACTAACTGTAGCAATCTATTTGGGAAACTAAGGCCCCGTTTACACTGCCACAGATGACTTGTTGATCCGTATCAAAAGTGATACGGATTGGCCTCCCGTTTACACCACTCCAAGCTATCCGTAGCAAAACTGATACGGCTAACCGTATCACTTTTGATCCTTTTAGCAAAAGGATTTGAAATGGTCCAGACTCGTGAAAACCCAGTTTAAAGGGGGCATAACTGTACCTAAGAAATACAACGATCTTGGCCTACTAAAATAAAAATAGTAGTCTACTCACACGGTGAAAAAGTGGAACTTAGCTTCCTTTTTATTTGCAATCCTTGATTCTCATGGTCCTTGTTGTCATTTATTCCCTTTTAATCGTCAGTTCCCTATTTCGCATTTCTTACAGGCAAAATAAATGCAGCGAATACCTTATTCTCCAGCATCCTAGCTATTCATTTTCCCGCTGAAGTGGTCACAAGCGCATGGCGCCGATTGAAATTCGCCGGCCGCACTTTCTAAGGTTTGAGAACAATAGGATGCGCGATCCAGTTTTTTTTAGATCAGTGGTTGCACGCTGGAATTTGGTGCTTACCCTGCGGAGTAGCAACACAGTCATTCACTTCCGGTAGCTGTGCTGTTTTTCCGGAAGTAGGTCTGCTGATCAAGTAAACCAGAGAAAACATTTCAATAATGAATTTAAAGCTGTGTGCAGTGTTATCAATTTTCCTGGCCATCTGCAGAACATGTAAGTTTTCCTTTTAGATGAGTGAAATTATTTTCGTTCCATTAATTTGTCACAAAGTGTGAAGATAACAAACTTGTCTGGGTTGCCAAAATGGCCTAGTCATGCCAATTGTCGTCGAAAATAAGCATTCAAAAGAAAGCTAAAGTGTAAGAATTTGTCACGTCATTAAGATCACTTACTTTCTGTTTCAGAGACTCTTCTCATTTGGTTTTCTAAAAACACGTAGCATTTGTTGAGAATGAAAGCTTTGAAAAAAGAAATACCGGGCATCACGATAGCGAAATTGAGATTTTGGCCAGCTGCCTGTTTCTCGAGAAACACACAATTTGAAGTTTCTTGGCATTTTGCCTTTCCGTAATGATTCTCATTTTCTTTCAATGATTCTTTCTTTCAATAATTTTTCTTCTTGATATACGCACGCCACAGATTGCGTTCATACCGTATTTCCTCTAAAGAACGCCGCGGCGTTTATTACAAACTCCAAATTTTGGATGCGGTAGAGGGCGGCGTTCAATACAAAATAAAAAGACATGTTAAATACAAAAAAATGACAAGAAAAATGCGATGAAAACAGATAAAAAGAATGTCATTATCCCTGTCTCCGTCAGAGTCCTCGTCTCTATGAGATAAAAACTTTCATGGCTTTCGAATAGTAAGCGTTTAAACGATTCCTTACTTCTTGCTTGGTGTGTTCTAATGAACGCCGCTTTACAAGATGCGGCGTTCAATAGAGGACGGCGTTTATCAGAGGGCGGCGTTCATTAGAGGAAATACGGTATTTACAGGACTGTCATTAACAGGGGTGTCAGAAACGTCATTAGAAGGGGGTGTAGTGATAGGGGGCTCATGGAGCTTGTTAATACAGGAAAATAGCCAATCTCTAGTTTTGCTATTGTTTTTGTAACATTTCGCGCAATGGCAACCCGTGCTATTTTTATAGCACTACACCCCTGGTCATAAGCAGTGGTGATTTGCTGTTTCAAAATTCGACGGCGAAGCACGCGGATGGCAAAATCACTACGTTTAAAACAGAATTTTTTCGAAAGTGGTGTCACATCCCTTCACACACGCCCTCCCCCAAAGCTACACTACAACCCTGCCACAGAATAAGAATTCTGTGCCCCAGAGTTTTCTAGTTACATGACCACCTTGCAAAGAAAAATGCTTTATTACGGATCCTGTTTTTGAGAAACCAATTATACGGTCGTGAAACAAAATATATGGAAGTGATCCAGATTATATGTCATGCAAACAGACGTTTATTATAAAAATCTATTTCCAATTGAAATGCAACAACTTTTTTCGCGGGGACTATTTTTTGCAAAAGTTGAAGAAGTAAAAATGTTTCCAGCTCATAGAGTGGGTCAAATAGATCTGAACCTTAAAGGTAAAGTGTCCATATAAAAGGGCTGCGTATCTTGGAGTATCTTACTTTGAGTTTGAGACACTACCCTTGATAGAAACGAAAAGTAATTGAGACGTCTTTGCGTATTTGCGAACTTTTGTGCAGTACCTAGCTGATCTCATGCATGCATTTGGCATACTCTGCAGACTCAGGTATTTAAAGCAACCCCTGCCTATTTTACAGGTGCAGGACTTCGCTGTCATCTCTGCAGCCATAGCAAATCGTGGGACTATTGCGAGCGGTATGGCAGCACAGTGTCTTGCCCTTCGTCGTCATCGAAGATACCGATGTGTTACAGTCTGAAAAAGCATAAAGACTACTTGAATAACACCAGAGATTACTACTTCTCAAGGGGGTGCATCTACAAGGATCATTGCACAGTTCCATACATGTGCACTAACAAAGACGAATGTCAAGTAAGTGATACCAACGACATCGTATATCCTCACTAATTTTGTTTTGCAAAATGGTTAGAGCCCTTCGAAAGTGAGGGGGGGGGGGGGCTGGAGGGAAATTTAAGAACTCATTACAAATGATGTTGAGAAAAACTCTTTTGTTTTGCAAAAAGCTGGAATTTAGCTTAAAGGGAGAGTAGGAAAATCATTCGTGTACATGGGGAACAGGGCAATGTGAACATGATTTGCAATTTCCACCCTAAATCCTCAATTCAAAGCCAGAAGTGAGAAATCATTGTTGTAATTTATACTCTCCTTTACGTTCTAGTTAATTTGCTGCACTGAGAACCTGTGCAACGGAAGTCCGATGGCAGGTGAATATGGAACAAAGACCCTTTGGATGCTAATGTTGTCTGTTGTTGCATCTTTGTTTTCAATTGAAATGTTGAATTAGCGACACTCTCAACTGTGTTTGGAAATTTAAGCACTGATATTACTGTATCGTCGATTTGACAGCTGCTTAAGCTCGTTTTGAGATTTTTTTATACGAATCGCTGAGAGGGGCAGCCTTTAAGGGAGAATTAGTGAGGGCTCGATATGTTCTTCTTTCTGGCTTTCGGTATTAAGTAGATTACATCGAAATTTGGTCATTTTAATTTGTCCTTATAAATCGTTTTTGGCAATTGTTTGTCAAAATGTTCTCATTTGTACTAGTGGAGCAAGGCTTAGTATCCACACTCCTATACATTAGCATCTACTTTTTGTCTGTTTACTCTGTATTCGTAATTAGTCTACCTAGTTTTAGTAATCTTTCTTTCTATCCTTGTTTAATGTTGTGTGTTTTTATGTATCGACCATGGGGTAGTCATTGTCTTTCGTTCCTCATGGTATCGTCCCCGTAGTGTAGTACAGTTATTAGGTAGTATAGTCAATGTAAAATTGCATTGTTATTAATTCCTATGAAAAAAGGCTAAGTATTAGCCAGGTGTAATATATATAAATTTGAAAGAACGTGGATATATAGATATTATATTAATATTTTACGTTCTTTATGATGTGATCGGTAAGATTCGAACCTTCATTGAGCATGGGGGTATTTGAAATTTTTTCGAGTAGAGAATATTTTCAATCATCTAACTTTGGCTTTCTGAAATAATTATGAAGAAGCATTTGTTTTGCTTAAAAAAGTCGATGGTAAGGAAGCCATGGAACCTGTACTATGATTCGAAATATTGTTTTTGAATAGAAACCAAATTGGTAAGACAAAGTAATTAGACAGTAAGGATTTGGAGCGTTCCGTTGGAAGAAATCACCTACCTTTATCGTTATGTTCACATAAAGATAAGTTCGCAAGATTACTGGAATAAAGTATCTTATCTACTGCATGCGAAATTTTGTTTGAGATCAATAGTATCCCATTCTTGTATCAGAATTTTCTTTGGATGGGATTCTATTCTGACAAAACGGTACTACGATGTGTTATCTTTTTTTGTTGGTGTCATAAAATTGTAATATTTTTATTGAGAAAGTCCTAGAAACGATAGTTTTTCGGTATAGTCTTTTTGACTGTTGTAACGTGTATAATTGATTATAAAGCTAAAAGTGTGAAACTGGCAATGTGTAAGTCGTGAAAAGTTGTTTTGGCTAACCAGCATTTTCCGATAACTTTTTATCTAAACCAATGTAAATCTGTAAGTTTGATAAATTCTCCTGATGATTTATTCGATGCTTTATTGCAAGTCTCAGAAGCATTTCTGAAACGACCTTTTGGTGTGGCATTTCTCTTGGGACTTCCTTTGCCACGGCCTCTGATTGTCTAAGGTTCGAAGCTCCGTGTTGTACCTCTGCATTCGAACCAAGTTAGTGTGCTAGGTTTTAAACTTGCTTCATCGTGGCCTGCCTGCTTATTAAAGCACCTGGTAATTCAAGTGTGGGAATCAAGTTTGTAGTGGGTTTCAAATTTTAAGTGAAATTGTTGCTAATAGGCTAATCTGCGCATTAAATTACTTGTGGTGAACACTCTTACGTGACAAACAAACCAACTTACAATATGGGCACGAAATGGCCTATCTGGGGCGTGCTTTTGCGGAGCCTGTCACGAGGTTCAAAACCCTTACTGATTTAAGCATGTGAGTCACATTTTTCTTACGTTTGTTAGGAACTATTGAAGTATTTGGATGTTGTCAATGCATTGGAAATGAATTTTAACAGTAATCATAAAATATTTCTGAGTGAAATAGAAGTATT